TTAGTCCTGGCATTTGATGCTTTCAGCCAGGACTGATCACACTTTTTTCTGAATGCCTATTCTCCTCTTCTTCATTTCCCTAATGTCCTCATTTTGATATATGACACTCTTTATTGAGTCCTGTTGGTGGGATCTCTTTGGCTGGCACAACACTGGTTTTCTCTTTGTAAACTGGCATCCAGACCCCTTCTTCCTCTACTCCATTCCTGCTCTTTTTTGCTTCAACCACATGTCTTTCTTTCACTCAGGTGTGTCATCCTTTCATCTTCACATGTGGGAATTGTCTGGTCCATTGCAGGACTGGACTCTCTAACCTTGAAGTCTTTTTCATATCCCATTCCTGTTCTTCTTAAACTGTCTATCTATCATCAGAAGTGGCGAGTTTTTCAATGTTGGTTTATCAACCACTCCTTGGGTGATCCAACTGTGGCCCACCTTTCAGCCTTTTGTACGTGTTTGTTCAACCATGGATTGTTAGTTTCCACTATTACTGTTTCTTGGATGGCCTTATCAACTACGTTTTGCCTTTCCTACCAGTTTTTTTTTACTTTCCCTGTCCTCTTTACTTTGTTCTAATCCTTTTTTTCTTTACTGACCCCTTGTCCTGCCTGACTGGGACATTGATGTGGTTTTTTATGCTCATACATGATCTCTGTTCAAGCTGTTGTCTTCATATTTATTATACAATCTTTCTCTGAAGACACATTTCCATCTTTTCATCTGTGATAATTGTTGTTTGGATGTATATGCCATCAATGCTTCTTGCACTCTCGTTCATGGTAATTACTTCCTCCTCTATCCAGACTGGGCCTTTCTTCCTAAGACTTTGGCTGCTGGGGTGGGTGATCAATCTTTCACTTTTTATCACACTTGTGTCTCATTTTCACTGATCATTGGATGAGATCCTTCAAGCTGGCATGTGAATGAATCCACACACATTCTTCTTCTATTATGTTCATCATCTGGCTGTTTCCCTCCTGCAGTTGCTTTTTTTTCTTCAGTAAAACTACATGTCTACATGAGAAGGATAAGTACATTTTCTTTTACATTGGTCTTGTCTCTTCCCTCTTATAAGATCCCACCAGCTGGCCGGTGTTTCTTCTCAGGATATGCTTATTTTCCAAAATCCACATTATGCTAGGGGTAACAGAAAGTACTCAACCCATCTGCCCTGGCTCTACCAGTGACCACTGTCCAGATGGTGTGTTCCACAAGACCACTAGAGGTATTAAAATTATTCATTTGCCTGATCCATACTGTACTTTCCATAGACTATCATATAAAAAGCTAGCACCAGGTAAGTGACTGTTCATTTCTCTTGCTTGCACTTGCTGGCTTTTAAGTATAGGGTTTGCAGTCGCCCATTGCTCTGTAAACGATCCTTTCCAGCATGTATCCAATGGGGAATTGGGCATGTCTCCAGGTCTCTCCAATGCAAATTCTCCCCTCCCCCTTTTATTTCAAGTAGATCATGGAAGACCCTTGCTACATACAAGTTCCTAGCTGCTGGGGTGTTGAATCTTGAAGAGTTCCTCACTGATTGTATACAACACAATATGGTGGGAAGTAGGGTAGTGGTGGCACTGTCTGTGTAGTGTGGGTTCACCCTTCAAATAATTAGTGTGCCCTCCTGTTGCAGAAGGGTGGATTCATCACCACTATTTCTATCTGTTAAGTTGAGGTGAGACACACACTGTACAGTCTAATTATGCCCTAACCACACTACACTTCTTGGCTCACCGACCAAAATTATACCCATCCTTGCAATCTCTTGTGTGATTCTATCTTTTCTGTGTGAAGAGGTGAGGTATCCTATCCACTTCTGGTGCACTTTCTTCTTTCTTTGCCTAAGAATGGAGTTATTTTGAGTGCAAATGCTTAGGGGGATCTACTGCACAAGAAGGTTGTGATTAAGGGCTATTGTTCAACACATGGTTTTTACATGGGAGTTAGCTCAAGGCTAGCAACATGCAATTCTCATAGCTCATATGTGTGAGGGATGATGCTATTCTGTGTGGGGAAATGCATTTGCAGGTAAGAAAAATGTTAACGTTAATATTATCTGCTGTTAAATAATCATTAATATTGGAAACAATCTGAAAAAGTTTTTTACAAAAATGGAAAATTGGTCACCCTGAAAAATTCATGAAATTTGTTGATGTCTGAGTTGTAAGTATATCTTTTTCATGTTGTATTAGAAAAGATGTGATTAACAAGTCTTGTACCAATAATGACATACAGTACATACCATGAATGTTTATTTGTATTTTGTTTTCAAGTATCAGAATATTCACAGGAAGTATGATATAATATACACACATTTTTCGTTATTGAAATTTTAATTGTAGAAATAGTCTGCATAACTCTCTCAACATGGGCTTGGTCAATGTGACTGATTACACGACTTCTTTGTACTTGTTCAAAGTCTTTACAGATTTGATACTAATAACTTTTAATATAGTGTGTATATCTTCACGAAATTTGGTAGTCTTTCAGTAAGCATTATAAATCTTTCACATACAAAAAATAATATTTTTGGTGAAGTACTTTCAATAAACTAAAAAGAAGATTTGTCCAATGAATATATTGAGTATTTGTTTTGAATAGTCTGTATGCAAAGTGATTTTCATGGTAAGATTAAACATACTTTTATTCATCTCAGAAATCTCAAATTTCATTTGTGTAATCTCTAAAACCTCCGAAATACATTTCAAATGTTTGGTTTTATTAGAACTTTATATTTTATCTGTTATTTTCTCTATCCTAACTCTATACTTGGTTGGTCAATTTAACTGACCTTGTAACCACCAAAAAAAAAATCTAAATAAATCTAAATTACCATTTTTTCTTTCTAGAATGACTTCAAATGTAACATAAAACTACATTCATTTATTGTAATAAGCTTTAAACGGTAACAGTATACATCAATTTATAATTAAATTCTATTGTTATATTGCCCTTTGAACTGTTTCTAACTACTATTCGCACCATTATAAGTTGTAAATCACTTGGGGAACATACAGCTGACTTTACGCTATCAAGTTATCGTACCCACAAACTACTTCGAACTGCTCTTATGCATGCCTTGTGATATATTATTTCATTATTTATTTTATCTAATCTAACTTGAACTAACCTAAATGGTTACTGTGTATTAAATAATTTTTATTTAATTAAATAATACACCAAAATGTATAGAATAATAATATGCAAAAAAGTAGACAATTGACTCTAACAATCAAAATTTTTCTGGCTTTCTAACTATGCAACAAGAGCCGTTACAAATTCATCCAAGCTAGTCATTACGTTAACCATTGGGAATGGAAGCTTGTACTACAAGTGAAATTGAGGATTATCTGTTCAGAATACAATGTAATATAATAAGTAATTTGATTGATGAAAACCTTGGTTTCCTATTGGTTATAGGTAATATATAATTAAACATAAGAGAGAACTAATAACAAATCCTGAAAGGGAGGATGTGACAGACAGATGGATATGGAAGGAGGGGTCTGATCTTCTATTGGATAGCTGTGTAACCAAACAAATTTGAAGACTATAAAAATTATGGTTGTCTGAGCAATGACGATTTTATAGTGACTAATTTTACATTTAATTTCGTAGTTACTGGAGGGGTGGAGGATAAAATACAGAAGAGAAGATACTTAGAGAAAATCTGTTGTGTGTCACACTAGGGGAAATTCAGGGTTTTCTTAAATATTGTCTTATAGAATTAAGAAGTTAAAACTTATATACTATTAAAATATGGATTATTAGCTAAGATTGTGTGCGATACTAATTGGTATAACATAAACAAGAAGTAGTTTAATAAAATTTTGAATGTAAGACACTGAAACCTTGTGTCATGCGCAGTAAAGGATACCTGTGGCAATGTGGTTAATGTAACTTAAATATTATTTTACAAGGATATTTTACAAATTTAAATTAATATATATATAGTGTGATTTTTAGGAAGCAGCTTAAAATCTGATGGGATAACTTGATGGTTTTTAAATTTACATATCTTTATATTAAGTTCAAAATGGGGTTAATTACTTAGTTATTATTATTAAATGTGGGCTGGTTTAACTGTGGATGGTGATAATGAAAAAACTTTTCTAAATAGAAAAGGTATAGAAAGTAGAATGTTACATATGCTTTTTTAGTAGTATGATTAATACCCAAATTTATAATATATATATAGGCACATTAAAAATTGTACTATAGGTACAAAGACAAATTCTGGCGCATGTTGTATAATATTACTACTGTGGCTAATTCACATATTATAAAAATAAAAAAAAACAAAAGGGATGTTATATGTTCCTGATAATTTATACAAATGTGACTGAATGCTCCTGAAAATGGGTCCAGACATTGATGGGATGTGAAGAATTAGTCTGGACTGAGGAAAACTCTGAAAATTAATTCAAGGTCAAATTACAGCACTAATGAGTATGCTCTAAGTAGTATATATATGTTATAGTGGTTTGTTAATGGTCCTTTAATATAAATCAAACCTCTTACCAACTTTATCTTAGTACAAACTATAGATGCACTAATAATGCATATTTATGCCAAATGTGAAGTCTATTGCTTTAACAGATCTGAAGTTATGAGTTAAAAACCACTATGAGAATGTAAATTGTCAGATTTTGAGACAAACAGTGGAAAACCTTTTATTTTTCATACTTTTTAAGGGTGTTTAGTTTAGCTAAGACTTTAAGGGTTAAGTATTCAAAATATGCAACAAAATAAATTATGATGTTTGTTTACTTTTACAAGATATATGCTACCTTAAAAAAATAGAGTTAAAACTTACAATTAGGTGACCATTGAATATTTATAATTCTCAAATGTTTTGAAGAATTTTATTTTTTTTAGTTATTATGAATTCTCTTTCTACAAAATAGACAAAAATTATATGTATTCATATTTATTCAAAACATTGTATCAGTGGTTTAACTGGTGATAGAAAGAAAATTTATCTTCTGTTTTAGAATCTTTGGATGATTGTGGTTTACGTTTTCTACTTGCCATGCGTCATTACACCTTCCTGCTTAGATGCCTAAAAATTGCACAACGTGCCCAGTTACAGAGACAAGGGCTGAGAACAGACTCTCTTGTTTGGGCTTTTCATTCTGAAACACAAGAAGAACTACTTCAATTTGTTCCATGCGTACAGAGAGGAAACCCACGATGGAGTGAACTTCGAGAAGTGGGTGTGGGTTTGTGGGTGAGAAGTAACAACACTTTACGCAAGCTGATAGAAAAGGTTAGCGTTATCTGAAGTTTTCTAATTTTTTTTTTAAAAGCATAGTTTGTATAGAGAAAGTTTGAGGTGAAAGAAAGTTATCTTTTTTTATAGGCCTATTAATCTTCTATCATTTTATTATGTTGAAACTGGAGAAAATAAATTTTAACATCGTACTTCATTTTTGAAAAAAGCATTTTTCAGGTAATCTTTTGGGAAATGTTTCATTTTGATTTTATGATAGCCACTGTGTTTTATGTTTTGAGCCTTATTCTGCATCAGGAAAATTGCTTAGTTTCAAGATAAACAAAAAAAACAAAGTTTACTGTATGATAGTCAGTTTAATTTATGATTTTATTATTGTTAACGTGTATGATAAAGGATAGAAAGTTTCATGATTTTTCACCAAGTACTTGTAGAAACTTTTTTGTTATACATAAGGAAATTGTTTAAACCATGTGTTTAGGCCATCAGCATGTATGTTGCTTCCATTTGATTGTGTTTTTATGTAATTATGAGAAACATAGAAAGAAAGATAATCAGATCATGTGTATTAAAACGTTTTTGTAATATATGTATTTCATTGAAAGGAATACTCTATTTAGAGAAGTTATAATAGTTTTATAAAAAGTATACTATTATTTTAATTTGTTTATCAGGTATCCAAGTGTGCTTTCCAGGCTAAAAATGATCCTTTGGATGCAGCACTCTTTTATTTAGCTATGAAGAAAAAGAATATCGTATGGGGACTGTTTAGGTGACTTGCTTTTCATCACTTTACATTTTTTAAAAGTTTTTGTTTTTCTGTGGTACAAAATAATAGTAATTAATCTTCATCACCATTCTGCAGGTATATCTGCAGTACATTCATTATGAAATTAATTAAATTGGGAGGGGAATTTTCCAATTTAATAACATAATTTGTTTTAAAGAGAAGAAAGCAAATTTTTTCTTTCATGAAAGTTTTTTTTTTTACTCTTGATGCTTTACTAAGCATGATTTGTTCCTAGCCTATTAACTCTTCCAAAACAGGGTCGGTCAATTTGACCGAGTCACGGGACCTTCTGTACTCGTTTAAAGTTAACATAAATGTAATACTTAACTCTCTATATATTGGGTATTTCTTCACGAAATTTGGTAGTCTTTCAGTTAATATTACAAGTCTGTCACATACAAAGAGTCGTATTTCGTAGTGAAGTATTTTTAATAAAATAAAATAAAGTTTTGTCCATGAAAATATTGAGTATTTGTTTTGAATAGTCCGTGTACAAAGTAATTTTCATGTTAAAATTAGAAATACTTTTCATCATCTCAAAAATCTCAAATTTCCTTTGTGTAATCCCTAAAACCACCTAAATGCATTTCAAACGTTTTTTTCACTATATACTTATAGTTTATATGTTATTTTCTCTACCTTAATCTCAAAATGTGATCGGTCAATTCGACTGACCTCGTAACCACCAAAAAAAATTGAAATAAACCTAAATTAACCTTCTTTTCTTTCTAGTATGACTTCAAATTGTAACATGATACTACATTTGTTTATCCTAATTAGCTCTATGTTCGTAGCATTATACATCTATTTATAATTAAATTTTATTGTTTTATTGCCCTTTGAACCGTGTCTTACTGCTATCCGCGCCATTATAAGTTGTAAATCACTCGGGGAATGTTTAGCTCCCATTACGTTATCGAATTACATTACCCACGAGCTGCTCGCGTGCGATCTCCATGAACAATTTTAATTATATTATTATTATTACTTATTTTACCTATTCTAGTCTTAAATAACTTAAAAAGATCCATACTTTTAATTTAGGTACTTTTATAATAATAAATAAAGAATAAATAATGAAAAATAAGAAATAAAAGTAACTTAACCCTAACCTACTTCTTTTTCTTTGTCCCTCGACTTGTTCGAGGAGAGGTTAAGTCCT